TAATGCGACACTTTATATTATAAGTATACTAAAAACTTATTAGAATGTTCAAAAGTATCCTATAAACTTATTGCAAGGTGTTTAAATATATTTTTTATTTAAAATACTTTTTTTATAATTGAAATTAATTATGTACCCAATTAAATATTATAATATTTTTGTTTTTCTTTAAGGTAATAATAAAATAAAAAAAAGGGTGAAAAGATGTAATAACAAGAACATCTCATATGAGTTGTCAAACGGAAGCTTTATTCATCATTCAAGTCAACGACAATTGAAAGATTCGTGAGACGAAGAAAACCCTAACAATAAAAAATTCGGAAGAACAAGCAACTGTTCTTCGATTCGGTTTTTAATCTTCGGTTTTATCTCATCACATTGCCAAGATCCTTACTGAGTAAATTAGAGGTAAACGTTAATTTAAGGGTTATATGTGCGTGAACCAGATGTTTTTGCTTAGTTTGAGCTTTCTATTAATCATTTTGGGGAGAATGTAGGTGACGGGGACTTGATTACTATTTGATTTTTTGATTGATTGTTGTGATACCAAAGATTAGAGTTCTAGGAGTAAAGAATGTAAGTATGAGATGAATTATACGATTAGAAATTAGTTTGACTTGATTTTCTTGTCATAAAGGGTGTCGTAAATGATCTGTGATGTTTTCTAAGGGATTACTTGAAAATCTGGAAGCTGCTGTCTTTCTAGTATTAGCTCTGGGTTTGATTTGTTGCTATTGAACTGGATATTCATAGTTAGAAATGATAATTGAGTTATGGTGGTTTATATGGGTTTTGAAATTTTGGTTTTTTTTTTTTTGCTTTGGTTATGTGTATGATTGAGATTATTATTTTGAAATGACAAAAATTCTAGAGTTTGCATGAGCAACCCATAACTTAACTGAGGTGGTTCTTAGGCTGTTCTGTGAAGGATTTTCTTAGGAATTCCATTATAATTATAGGCTGTAAGACTAGTAAGTATCCTAAAAGGTTTTACAAATTGGCTAATTGGTAAATAATGGGGGGAATAAGATAAGTGAACTAATACTAACTACCAGTTTGGGTTTCTTGCTCCATCTTTTTGTTGGAGATGAGACAACATATTGAAGTCGAAATGCTCGAGGCCAAAGCTTAGATGCCACACTAAATGATTTTCTCAGATACATATCTGCTTGCCCTTGAATTATCATCAGATGCTATAGAGAAGCTTCCTGTCAACTTCACTTTCAACCAGTCCATTGTTGGTAGTAGTTGAAACATGTATGTTGGCAAGCTAGGCCACTCATATCAAAGCAGGATTGAAATTAAAGTTAATGCACCTAGAACATTGTCGTCCAATTTGACAGTTGCAACTGGTTACTTGTTTCTTGTGAATCCATATCTTTGCTTCCAGTGTGTGAGGGTGTCATCTTGTTTTTGAGTATTCTTTTACTTTCAGCAAATTTTGTTTGATGTCATGCATCACCTCAGCATGAGATTATCTATCTGAGTTGTGGATCATTGTATCTTGCCAACTTGACTGTTGTTTCGAAAATCATCTTCTTCTTCATCTATTTCTCTTACACATTTTTATAATTTGTATTATCTGGTATGAACTATATACATGTACAGTCTGTTGTCACTTATATGGTTGTTGAGATACTTTTTTAGATGTTGAAAAAAGATAAAATATTAGTCATTGAAAATCCGAACTCTATTGAGAAAATATGAAATAGCCAAGCAAACAACAACAGAAACCTGGTTGTCAAGATCTTCTTTTTGAAACGTTGAAAAAAGATGATATATTAGTCACTAAAAATCTGAAACATATTGCAAAATATGACCTAGTGAAGCAAACAGCAACTGAAGTCCAGTTGTCAAGTTCTTTTATTAGTGTATATGATATCTTCAAGCAACATATGATCTGCGAAGATGGACATTGCATACCAAGGATTCTCCAAGGAAGAGTATACACCATCCTAGAAGGGCCTATAATGCTCTAGGATGGTACAGTGTTCTCTGTAGTTCTTTAGGGCACTCTTGTAGTATGTTGAAGCTTCAACGTATAGTGGTCTGGGATTTATGTAGGAACATAGACGGTTCCCTTTATTTAGATCTTTTCCTAGACGGTTGGAGCCTTTTTTAAAAGGTGGAGGCCTCCGTCATTTGTAGCATCAAGTGAGGAGAAACAAGTGTAACGATCCAAGTTTGATAGAAACTAATAAACTACATTGTTTTCCTCATTTCGTTTGGGAAAAATAAGTCGACACCTGCCTCATCATAGCCATAAACCAATAAGAAAACACATTTTGTACATGAAACGTAGTGAAATTTTATGCATAAAAGCTAAATCTAATGTAAAGTAACAGGCACTAGTAAATAGCGCTAAACACCATAATCCTAAAAAGTAATGTATTCAACCTAGATTAATTCATTAGAGGTTTAAATATTGGAACATTACCAGTGGCAAAATTTTCAAAAATCAAGGTATTGGCTACTAAGGATTACAATTGAAGGAAATATTGTTTAAATATAAGCTCCTCGACAATTTCTATGTTCAGGTAATCACTTTAACAAGGAAAATGACATTGATAGTTCAGCACTTTTGACTAAAATCAGTTCATTGTTTCAAAATCAACAGACATGGAAAAGAAAGTGAGTAGTTCACACGGAGAAATTAAGGAAATAAGAAAAAGCAAAAACAGAGGAAAATTCGACTAATGCAGGTGGTTAATGGTGGAATAGGTTCTAATTGGTTTACTCTATCACTTCATCTCTGTTATTTATAATGGATTAGTTCGGGTTTCTAACCGAAATTCTGTGTGAAAAAGTCTCAAAGTTTTGCGCGGCATAGTCATCAAGGTGTCCAATGCATCCAAAGCACCATATAGGACGTCGATTAGAGACATATAAGGTTTATTCCTAAAGACTTTTGAATACTTGCCTCTTTGCTACTGCCTTGTTGCCTAGGCAACAACTAGTTGACATCTTATTTGCTGCTAATGCAAAGGCATTTTCTGAAAGAGCATGCAGAAGAGAAACTTATATATATTTTTTCATTAAATGTTCTATGGATAATGTGGTATTGATGTATCGATTGCCAAATTCAATAGATATTTCAAATTCAAATTCATGAACTGGATCAGGCAGGTTCCATCATTTCAGAGCACGCTGGCCCACTTAGAAGTTACAGCAGGCCGTGATATGCATGACCACACAGAGCTCATGAGTCCACACTGCAGCTCAACTTTTACCTAGCAACTTGTTCAGAGCTCTTTGACCTAGTGTCACTTTCTCTAAATGTTCAAAGCATATTATGATGATACCTGTTTATTATGGTTTTTATAATCTACAGTCTAAATAGGCCGTCACTTGGCGTCTAACCAGCCTCCATATATAGTTGGCCTCCATATATAGTTGGCCATATCATGGTTACCTTTGTTTCCATTACAATTTTTTCTGTTTAATATACTTATGATTTCAATCTTCACCAGGGATCTGTGCTCTTGCTATGGCAAACTCCAAGGGGCCTTCAACAATGAGAAGTATGATGTACAATGGAAAACACTCTTTACTTCCCCCTAAAAGTCCATTTCCCAGCATTGCTCCCTCATATGCTGATTATGTCTCAAATTCTGCTATTGGGCCAAAAGGACCACCGAAGTATAGGGATGGGAATTCACTCCATCAACGTACTTCCTCTGAAAGCTTTCTGATAGAAGAGCAGCCTTCTTGGTTGGATGATCTTCTTAATGAACCAGAAACACCTGTTCGGAGAGGGCATCGGCGCTCATCAAGCGACTCTTTTACATACATGGAAGCAGCTAATGCTGCGAATAATGAATATAGAGCGCAAGATGAATACAGGTTGAGAAACCTGAGTTCTGCTCTGTCATGGGGATCTCAAGACTTTGACATATTTACAGATTCCCGAAATCCATCTTTTTATGCGGAACCAAATGCAATGATGAAGAATAAGAACCGGGCATGGGATTCATCACAAAATGCATTAACACATTCTATTGGCTCAGCTTCTCCTAGGGACAACTTTGTTCTTCAGAATTCTATATCCTTGGCTGCTTCACGAGAAGTTGATGGGAATACCTCAATCGCAACTGAGAAGAAAGATGCAATTGAATCTCTCCGGCAAGATGCAGATACTTCTGAAAGAAAGGATTCTTCTAGCAACAAGGCTTCTGCATCAGAAACAGACACAAAACGTGCCAAACAGTAAGCAAACTCGTTTCTCTTTTGATTCTTTTCGGCACAACATTGATCATTATAGCTATTCATGCTGCTGTAATTAGGTACAACTATTTATCTGGGAATTTGGAAATCCTTAATTTTTACTAGTTAAATAGTAGGAAGAAGATGTTATCTTTGATATTTTTCACAATCAGTTACCATTTTAGTCTTTTACATCGACTCTGTTCCTCTGTGGCATGCGATGCAACTTTAATTGAGGCCATCTAGAATATTAGATTGTTCATTGAAGGTACTTTTCAGTTTTCACCAGAGTTTATGGGGATTATACATATTTGGGCCTATGACTTTAGGCTAAATTTCACTACCACCTATCATCTCCATTTCAATGGTAAGGGGTCTATTAAGTTCAACTGGCGAGTAAAGAAGACTTTTTAACCACAAGGGTGGTGCCTGATTGGTTTGAGCTTGGCTCCAAAGGTCAAAAGTACCAGGAGGTCCCAGGTTCAAATCCAAGGAGGAATAAAAATCTCCTTGTGGCCACGGAGGTTCAAATGCGGTGACGCCGGGCTATCTGCAAAGCAGGTGGTTGCCCTGGGATTAGTCGGCTCGCATAGCGGGTTGGATATCCAGGTTAATAAAAAAAGACTTTTACTTGTCTCCAGTAAAGATGATGGTTTGGTCGTTTTGCCCTTGACTTTAAAGGTCTTTTTCTTCACCGTAATAGGTTAAAGAAATTCCCCAGTTTTTTAATTTATTTTACAAGAGTAAGTTAAAAAATCCTCCATGCCTTAAAGTAGGATAATAATATTGTCTGATCAAACATGGCCCTAAAAACATGGTAAGTATTCTATGTGTAAGGACCTGAGTTTGCTCTGCTGAAACCAAGATCTTCATACGTTTGCAGAAAAGCTTCTTTGTGTTGGACCCCTTTAGGGTACACAATAGAGTTGCTTCACATTAATCGGCTTGGCACCAGATTGAATTCATTTTCCTTGATAGTTACTGTCAGAAATAGCATCTATGCATAGATGTTCCTTATTAGTTTAGTGATGTCTGTAAAAAGTTTCAAGTCTTTTGCTTCTTTCTGTAATGGACTACCTATCCACAAGTTGGAAGAATGAAAAATGATAAGCTACATGCAAAAGTCTGGCATTTAAAACGACTATGGAATGCTTTGGAAAGTAAATTGGGCCTCTAATGTACAATGTAAATTGTCAAGTGAACACAGACATTTGGCATTATCTGTATTTACTGAAATCTTTAAGGTTTAAAGTTAGCAGTGCATCCATTAATCTAATAATGACCTAATACAGGCAATTTGCTCAACGTTCTCGGGTCCGGAAGCTTCAGTACATCGCTGAGCTGGAAAAGAATGTACAGGCTTTACAGGTAGATTAGAACGTGAGGAAAACTTTTTATGGATGGCTCATATCTATTCCAACCAGGTCATGTTACATCTGCTGTGTGCAGGCAGAAGGTTCTGAGGTTTCTGCTGAGGTGGAATTTCTAAACCAGCAAAGTCTTATCCTGAGCATGGAGAATAAAGCGCTGAAACAACGCTTAGAGACTTTGGCTCAAGAGCAACTTATCAAGTACAGTAAGTATCTACAACTTGTTCATCCTTTGCAACTTCTACGCATTACTGCTGTTAACATCTATGCTCTAGCTTGTAATACAAGTTCAGAATAGTTCCTGGTCAGCAGGTAGGAATAATGGTCTGTTGGAACTTCAAACAAGTTGATGTTAGAACTATTTTTGGCAAGTAACTAGCAGTCCTAAGAACCTAGAGATGAGCTTGTGATTTGTTAATTTCCCAGAAAAAGGAGGCACACAAGAATCAAGAACTCAATCATGTTGAGCGGAAAGTTATTGAGCTAACAATGATGAAATAGCAGTTCTATTTACTTGTCAAGATGATGTTGTGGCATCTTTCCAGTGTTACACTCTCTCGAATTTTAAGCGTCTTCTTTTATGAAACCAATTTTGGATGGTAGCAGACTAGAGTTTGTTGCAACATTTACCCTTCTATATTTTCTTTCAGAACACTGATCCTTACCAAGTGACCTAAATGAACCACACTTTAGCCTTTTTTGCTTTCAGATCTTATTCTGAGAGCCAGATGTACGATTTGAAAGAGGAATTCTTATGTTTGAGGCAGGAGAATGTAACAGTAGTTTAGATTGTCCTGGAGTTTATTCTTAAGAAAGCAAGGTTTGCAATTCAAATTTTATTATGTGAACTCTTATGAGATGTAGGCTGGAATGCTTGAGAGAGGTTTATCACATAATAGGCGCTGCTTCTATAATTGTATTCTTTGCCACTTTTCATGTTTAGTTCATTCCTTGCAATTAATTAGTTGCTAAAGAATTAAAAAATAGATTTTGCATACGTTGTAGGGCGTGTTTTTGCTCTAGAAGCTTAGGCTACTATCTGCAATATCTCTACTCACATACATGTACAAATTTGCTAAATTTTAAGCAAGGTGAATAGTATAAAAGAAATATAGACATTATATTTCATGCCCTCAATTGTAGTTAACATCATCTAGTTGAGATGGCCAATTTCATCTATCTACCAGCAAACTCTTAGTTGACATCACTTTTTTCTTGTTGATGCATTCTAAGTAATTTTCACTAGCATAAAAACAGTATAGACATATTATTTTATTCCCTTACACGTAGTTCACATCATAGTCACTTCTTTTGCCATAGTTATATCTGTCTCAATATGATGTTACTCGCAGACAGAGAGAACCTGGTGAATAACTTTTAATTTGCATTCTCTTTTGGAGGTGATGCATTATTGAAGCAGATGTTATTAAGAGGATAGAGAAAACTTGGAACTTGTTCAAATTGTTTTTGCTGTCGAGATCTTTTTTTTTTTTTTTATTAAAGCTCCCTCAAATTGGCCAGGTCCACCTAGGATAAATATTTGGAGAATAGCATGCAGGAAAACACTCTCTCTTACTCTCTCCTTAACACTTACTAGATATAGATGCACCACCACTTGATGTGCCTAAACAGTGTACTATTCCTACCACACCTCCACTAAAGAAAATAACATTTGACAAATCAATTTATGATGTATTTTTACAGTGTTGTTAACTGAAGCTCACCACAAAGTAGGTTTGCACAGTGGCTGTTTTTCGATAAATGTTGGGTTACTTTTATGGTTCAGACAACTGATTGATAGGCATGGACAAGAAGAGAATTGCATGTGGTGTTTATTGATCTAGATAGGTTGTGGGTACACTTGGGCAGTAGGCACTTTTCCTAAATAACATGTTCATAACACGATATTGTTGATAAAGTTACTTGAACTAAGAATTTGGAAAATGTACATCCAAAAATGGAACTTGAACGAACAATCTTGGTCTTTCTTGCCAAAAGCTGGGTAAACAAGAGTAAGGGTCTAGTTTATATGAAAAACTTGATCAAGGGGTTTGAATGTTAATCCAGGTTTTCCAAAATATGTGGTTTTAATTTGGATCTGGTAACATTATATTTATGTAATTCTAACTAATTAAAACCTTTAATTAAATTCATGACCTCCGGACCTATGAAAAGGAAAATGGCTTCATACTCATCAGAAGGTCTTGGATTTTATTAAAATCTCATTTTGGTTATATACCTAAATATCTCATTGAAAAGTCAGTCAACTGCTATAGTTATATTTTGTCCCTTAAATCTTCTTTTCTCTACAAAGAAATTCTTTTGACTAGTTCTTGACACCAATGGGGGAAACACAATACTAACTGATTTGTGAAATCTGTTTTCCAGTGGAGCATGAAGTTCTGGAGAGAGAGATAGGGAGACTGCGAGCCTTGTATCAACAACAGCAACAACCACAACAGCCACCTACGGCTCCTAGACACCGGCGAACCACCAGTATGGACAAACTCGATTCTCGATTTGCAGACCTGTCTTTGAAAAAGGACTCTGGTTCTTCGCACGATGTTTCTGGCCCACTCCATACCTGAATACAAACATCACAGTGTTCAATCATCCTGACCCTTCCATTATCGACGTTTTGTCATCCAACTGGCAAGAACAACTATTTGCAGGTTTCACTAGGTTCTTCTGTACCCTTTTGTGGCCTTTCCTTTTCTTTAGCTTTAGGGCTCGTGTTTATTATTACCTTGCCTGTTTTTATTTCGCTAATTTAGTAAATTTCTCTGCACCTGGTAGTCTGGGAATCTTGATTTCCCAGTTGGAGACTCACCGGAGGTGTTAACTTTAGAACCTGATACAATATTTCATGTTCTTCCATATGCTCATTTATGATCAACTTCTATTATTATTACTGTTCACCCTAGTTTTGTGCAATAATATTTGGAAATTTGTTTAATCATCTATAGTTTCTTGATTGAACTTGTTTTTTAACTAGAACCCTTCATTTTTTGCATGTTTCGCCTGCAATTTTTGGTTGTGCATATGGTCCTTGAGACAATGTGTGCATATTCTAACAACTCTAGTCTTTAATCATTGTTATCCAAACCACAAGGGTGGTGCTTGATTGGTTTGAGCTTGGTTCCATAGGTCAAAAGTACCAGGAGGTCCCAAGTTCAAATCCAAGGAGGAATAAAAATCCCCTTGTGGCAACGAAGTGTCAAATGCGGTGACTCCGAGATATCTGCAAAGCAGGTGGTCATCCCGGGATTAGTCGGCTCGCATAGCGGGTTGGATATCCAGGTTAATAAAAAAATCATTGTTAGCCATGTATTTGATATTAGACTAGGAGTGTAGTTTCCATATTAGGTTTTGCTTGTTCACTCTTAACTTGCTTTTCAAAACTTTATTGTATCCGACTTTCTCTTTGTCATGTCTTTCACAAGCTGGGGGGGTCTGTATAGAGACAACCGTTTTACTCTTTGGGGTACAGGTCAGATCTGCATACATCTTACTCTCCCTAGACTCTACTGTCGACTGAGATATGTTAGGTTTGTTTGGTTTGGCTTTAAATGTTCAAGTAATAGCTACTTTTTTCTCCTAGGGTTGCAAATTGCAATAGCTTCTCGGTTGGTATTGGTAGTAAGATGAATGTGGTTTCCTTTTTAGACTTTACTTTCGAGTAAAATATATTGGATTCGTTTAATTTAATATGAAATAATTAAAAAGTGTTTAAAAAAGGAAGAAAGTTAAAAATGCATTGTTGTATTGGGAAGAAAAAGGAATTGATAGGCACCAATGGCATTTTTACACACTTTGTCCTTGTTTGTTGTTTTAAAAGAACTTTAATACATTCACATCATTGCATGTATACATAAACCACATTTTATTAACTATGTAAAAGAAATATAACAAAAAAATTTCAAAATTATAAATTTCATAATTTATTTATTGATTTGTGGTTGAGATTGGATCTTACGGTTACCACAAACTAATTAGTTCTCATTTGATTAGGATCTTGTGTATGTATTTATGTATGTATATATATATATATATATATTGGATATTTTAGATTTAAAAATAAGAGTAATTTATTTTTATTAAAAAAATAAATAAAAGAGGTGTTTATTGTGAATTTAACTGGGTTCATCACTTATACAAATTTAAATATGGGTCTTAAGAATTTGTCCTCGTGCACCATTTACATGCATCTTAAATTTATGCATTTTTTTAATGGTATTTGATGCAGAGTAATTGTAAATAATAAATAAAAACATTACATTAGCAGAGTAATTGTAAATAATAAATAAATACATTAATTATGATTTATACTTTACAAATTAACAGGGATAAAATACTTATTTTTTGATATAATGTGTTTGATATTTTTTATTAGTTTAAATCTAAAATTATATATTTATCTTATATTTATTATATATATATATATATATATATATCAGTTAGTTATATAAATTCTAAATATGAAGCATGTCTAGCATGTATTTGATTATATTTATCTGTTAGTTATATCAATTCAAACATGAAACTTTAATAAGATGTATCAGTGTATCCTTAACATGAAATTTTGAATTTTAAATTATATGTTTTGTTTAGCGATATTTAATGTATAAAATGTGATTTTTAAGACATTATCCTAAATACTAGATAACATAGTACGATAATCCAGTAAAAATTTGAAAAAAACATGGGGTATAAATTAAAAACAAATAAAATGCTTATTACTAATATAATTTATTCTAATAAAATATTAATTACATCTTGGATATTTTAAATTTCAAGATAAAATAAAGTTTAATTAAAAAAATAAAATGAGTTTTTTGGTCTCTATGGTTTATATAATTAACGAGTGAAGTCCCTAAAAAGAATTATTAACGAAAAATGTTCCTAAGGTTTCATTTTTATAACGGATATAGTTTCTTCTATTAACTCTGTCAATTAGGGGGTTGTTTGTTTACCTCTTAATAGTTTTATTAAGAGACAACATCTGAATCACTAAAAGTTGAATTTTGTTTGGCAAAAAAAAGTCTACCTCTTAATGATTTTAAAACCCTCTGAATGATTTTGTATCTTGGATCTCCCTTAACCATTCAGTACCTTAATTTCATTCTGAATAATTATCAAACAATTATATTTTATTTTGCACTATATTATAAAAGTCTCTTAATCATTCTGAACTGCATCAAACCATTCAACAACTGACAAACAGTCATTAAGTTTGTTAGTGAGGGGAAATTTTGTCCATTAATACTCCTCTCCTTCGACTTTCATTTTCTATAACGGATTTGATTGCTCAAATTAATTTTCATTTTTATAATAAATTTGGTATCTAGAAATATTTTTTCATTTTTATAACAGATTCGGTCATTTCCTCAACTTTCATTTTTAAAATTTGGTCTCTTCCATTAATCAATAGAATTTGGTGGCACAAACATGTCTTGTAAATATAATGAGCAAAATAAGTAAACAAAATTTGAAACTTAAATTTTGTCATGAAATATTTTTTTATTTTCTAAAACATTATTTATATAAAAATCCTTTAGCTCAATAAAATATAGTTTTGATAAGTTTTTTTTGTTTTAATTAGTTGAAAATTAAAAAAAAAAAAAAAAAGGGTTAGAACTGAATATCGGACAATATATTTAGTGATGGAAAAAAAATCCAAACTCAACGATCAAAATCGGAATTTTTGGGTTGGGTTTAGGGACTATTTGTCAGGGATAGGGCGGTGATTTTATAGGTTTCGAGGACGATTGTCACCGGGCCAGAATATATATATCTATACTACATTAATAACCATTTAAACAAAAGTCTTAAGTACAAGTCTTAAAACATAGATTACTATCATTTTGTGCAAGAATTCAAAAATGTCTTAATTACAAATTATTTTGCACAATGTACAAGTCTTTTATGCAAGGATTTCCACAACACCAAATCCT